TCGAGTTGTGTCAGAGTTTCGACGAGCTCCAACGACAGCGTCTTCTCACGCGACGCCCTAACGTCGCGGATGACACACTCTCAAAGCCTAACCACCACCTCTGAACTTGAGTCCCTGCTATCGCAGATCAAGGAGTTTGTTCGTGCTGAAGTCGCTCGTCAGCTATCGCTGCTATCGACAGTCGGCCAACCACAGTCACCTCCTCCAATAAACCTTCGCCAGGCCATCTAGGAGCAAGTTTGCGCGGCTCTGCCATCTGCTCGTGACGCTTCACCGTTGCCGACCCCCGTTGCCTGTGCTGAAGTAAATAAACCTTTAAGCTATGCTGAAGTGGCCGCTCGACCACCTCTTCAGACTTTTACGTCACTGCCATCAGCCGTGCCACCGCGACCTACTACACCTCGGTTCGCTCAGTCAAGGTCCCCCCAGAGTAGTGGACAATGGCGTACAGTCGACAATCGGCCAATATGCTTTGCCTGTGGCCTACCTGGCCACATAGCGCGATATTGCCGTCGACGCGTCCCTGTCTACCACCAGAGCTACCACCAGAGCTTCGAACCTGCCCCTTATGTGCCACCGCGCCCTTCGTTCACAGGATCTCAGCCTCCTGACCAGATGTCATCGTACGCCGACCACCGCCCTCCTGTTAACCGTCGCTCGCCATCACCTCGACGCCGCTCGCCATCCCGATGCGTCTTCGTCCTTCATCGCCGGAGCGGGAAAACTGACTGCCGCAGTTCCAGAGGCAGGAACTGCGTCGCCCGCGAAAGGCCAAGGCCTCTCTCTTCCCCAACGAATGTTCTCGACGTATATGTGGACGGCGTCGCTGCACTAGCTCTTGTCGACACTGGTGCCGCAGTTTCAGTGATCAGTGCCAGACTTTGCCGCTTGCTCAGAAAAGTTATGACGCCAATAGCAAGTATATCACTTCGTACAGCCAGCGCAGAGCACGTCACGCAAGCCGCTGCCTGTACTGCTCGCATCGCGATTGATGGCCTCATCTATGTCGTCGAATTACTAGTTTTGGATTCCTGCTCCCATGACCTCATTTCGGGTTGGGACTTTCCGCTAATAAGGCCGTCCTCGACTGCTCTCGCGTTGAGGTAGGATTTGAAGTGTTTGGCGACGCTCCGTTAAATGATGCTCTTGAAACCAGGGACAAACTATTTGTTGCTGAAGACGTCATCATACCGCCGCACTCTTTCGCCCTTACCATGGTATCCTGCAACTCGCTCGCGGAGTCGAGTGCCCTTTTCACGCCATCTGCCCTTTTCGTTCGCCGCAAGTGTTCGCCGCTACCTTATGCCCTTCTAGAACTTCATGACGGCGTCAGCAGACTGCTCATCTCGAACCTCTTGTCATGTCCTGTAACACTACTTCGGGGTGAGTGCGTCGGGTGGGTTTACAGTCTCGACCCTTCTGCAATTTTTGACATGTCGACTGGTCCTTCCACCAAACGCGAAGTCGCCAGAATGACTTGTGCCTCTTTGCCGCAGACTACTAGGCCTGACGTACTCAGTAGCTCCATCGCCGACACGTTAACCATTTTGCAACGTGCTCGGCTTCTACGACTGCTGGAGAAGTTCCGTTCTTCCTTTGACTTCCAGCATACTCCCCTCGGCCGCACGTCCACTGCGTGTCACTGCATCAATACGGGTACCAATGCGCCATTGCATCAAAGACCCTATCGTGTGTCCGCAGCCGAGCGCCAGGTTATCCATGACCAAGTAGCTGACATGCTCAAGCGTGGCGTCACCCAGCCTTCGAATAGCATTTGGGCATCTCCAGTCGTTCTCGTTAAGAATTTGGACGGGTCAATTCGCTTCTGTGTTGACTACCGTCGTTTTAACTAAATAGCTCCAAAAGACGTTTATCCCTTACCGAGAATCGGCGATGCCCTTGACTGCCTCCAAGGTGCGGAGTACTTCTCTTCTATTGACCTACGGAGTGGCTACTGGCAAGTCCCTCTGGCACCTGTAGATCCGCCTAAGACGGCCTTTGTCACACCTGATGGCCTTTACGAATTCTGTGTCATGCCTTTTGGTCTTTGCAACGCGCCCCAACATTTGAGCAGATGATGGACAATCTTTTGCGTGGCCTGAAGTGGAAAACATGTTTGTGCTACTTGGATGACGTAGTTATATTTTCACCAGATTTTCCAACGCATCTCCGCAGGCTAGATGAAGTACTGCAGTGCCTAACTGACGCCGGCCTTCAGCTCAACCTGAAGAAACGCCGCTTCGGCGCAAACCAGCTCACCATCCTCGGCCATGTTGCCTCTAAAGACGGTATTCTTCCTGACACCACCAAGCTTCGGGCAGTTGCAGAGTTTCCTAAACCTGCGTCTCTGAAGGATCTGCGCAGCTTTCTTGGCCTCTGCTCCTATTTCCGCCGATTTGTTTGGAATTTTGCGATGATCACCGCCCCCTTGACTGAACTGCGCAGTGACTCGAAAAGTTACGCTTGGTCACCCGCCTGTGACGATGCTTTCGAAAAGTTGCGCCGCCTGTTAACCCCGCCGCCAATCTTGCGTCACTTTGACCCGACTGCTCCGACTGAGGTACACACCGATGCCAGCGGTGTTGGACTCGGCGCAGTGCTCACGCAGCGCAAATCGGGATTCGAGGAGTACGTAGTCGCATACGCAAGCCGTACCTTCACCAAAGTGGAGAACTATTCTGTGACAGAGAAGGAGTGTCTGACAATTATATGGGCTCTAGGTAAATTTAGACCACACCTATATGGTCACCCCTTCGACGTAGTAATAACCGATCACCATGGGCTTTGCTGGTTATCCACATTGAAAGACCCCTCCGGCCGTATAGTTCGCTGGGCTTTGTGGTTGCAAGAGTTCGACATGCGTGTTGTCTACAGGTCTGGTCGACGTCACACTGATGCCGACGCCCTATCACGTTCACCTGTGTCCTCCGAAAGCTCTGCATGTCTATCTGCCGGTGACGAAATGGTTGCGTTCCCAGAAAACTGCGACATGGCGTCTGAGCAACGTAAGTATGACTGGATCAGCACTCTTCTGCGATTCCTTTCGGACCCGTCGACTTCTCCATCTTCTCGAACGTTGCGCCGTCAAGCGGCTCACTTTGAGGTCCGCGATGGCCTTCTTTATCACAGGAACTACAAGTCCGACAGCCAAAAGTGGTTACTCGTCATACCACGCCATCTTCGTGCTGCATTATGTTCAGCTTTCCACGCTGACCCTCAGTGCGCACATGCGGGCATCTTCAAAACATACGCTCAGCTTTCCTCCCAGTTTTATTGGCGAGGCATGTACATCTTTTTGCGCAAGTACATTCAGTCATGCCCACAGTGCCAACGACGGAAAACTCTGCCTCATCATACCTCTGGTCCGATCCAGCCAATCCGTTGCCCAGCCAGGCCTTTTGACCGCATTAAGATCAATCTGTAAGGGCCTCTTCCATTCACGGCTTCCGGAAACCGTTGGATTGTTGTCGCTGTCGACTATCTGACGTGATACGCAGAAACAGCCGCTTTTCCTGCTGCCACAGCATGCGACGTATCTTCTTTTCTTCTGCGGAACTTCATTTTCCGTCACGGCGCACCGCGTGAACTTCTCAGCGATAGAGGACGTGTATTCCTCTCTGAAGTCGTCAACGCACTCCTTGCCGAATGCCGTATCATTCACCGGACTACCACCGCCTACCATCCGCAGACGAATGGCTTGACGGAAAGATTCAACCATACCCTAGGGGACATGATATCAAAGTATGTTGCCTCAGACCACTCCGATTGGGACCTCATTCTGCCTTTTGTGACGTACGCATATAACACTGCTCCACAGGCAACTACGGGCTTTTCGCCATTTTTCCTGTTATATGGCAGAGACACTTCCACCACACTAGATACCATTCTACCCTACTACCCAGATTTCTCCCAGTCTACGCCTATCTCTGAAGCTGCCCGCCGTGCCGAGGAATGCCAAAGCTCGCCCAGTCATTTACAACTGTCGACCAATGGAGACAAAAAGCTCGACGTGACGATAACCAGCCGTACCCTAACTTTGTTCCAGACACTCTTGTGTGGCTTTGGGTTCCCGCTGTGCCTACGGCCTTTCCTCAAAGCTTGTTTCAAAATACCAGCGACCCTACCGCACTGTCTCGCAGACTTCACCTGTTAACTACATCGTCGAACCCGTTACGCCATCCACAGACCAGCGCTTTCGGGGTCGTGAAACTGTTCACGTCCAGCGGTTGAAACCTTATTACGATCAGCTCGTACTCTGTTCACCTTGAGTCGCCAGGATGGCTCCTTTTCCGACGGGGGACGAAGTGTAGTGAAGAGAAATGCCCACTACTAAAGCGCCATCGACACTTTGGCGCGAGGCACGAGCTAAGACTGCAGGACGCTGCCCGTACACCAGGCCAGCTCTTGCTGCTTCTGTACAGACGCTGATACCGCTTTTGACATTGCATTTACATTATAGTATGTATGTATGTAACCACCGGTGGCACAAAACCGCTCTAGAGCGGGTATGTGCCACAGGGGTTTGTGAGATGGGACATGGCTGTACTTGGAGTGTTCACTAGATGGACGCACAGACGGAGAGACAAACTAGCAGACGGACGGACGATTGAATGGACGCGCGGCCGTACGGATGGATAGATGAACGAACGGACGCATGAATTGACGCACAGATGGTCATGCGGACGGACGGACACTTCACCACACTCATCATTCACTGCATAGATATACTGCGATTTTTTTTTTTGTGGCAGATTTCACCCCAACCGACAGTGAACAATGGCCAAATAGATCACTCTGTAATGGTACTGCACAGACATATGCTGTCGAGTGCTTGCAACACACTCGGACAACAGCAGTTGTCTGAAGTAGTCAAAATAGTAATGATCAGTAAACATGAAAAAAATTTTCTTCCTATATTATTTTTATAGTACATCATAAAACTAGATGATGTGCAATTCATACAAACGGGTACCAGCCAGATGTTCATTCAACACACAAGATTTGAAGAATAAGGTGGTTTATTCAGAGACAAGGTCACATTATAAACATTTACTCTCCTCATTCCTTGTCTAGCACATTTAGAGAAAAAACCATGACTAGTGGACGTCTGCAAAAACAATCACGAGAGAAATATTGGAGCAAGAAATTGTCTACTTAGAAAGTCATCGATAGGTTTGAGGCTACTCATTTGTATTCTTGCAGTTAAGTGAAAATTTCATCTTGTCGTTCATTATCATCTTTCATTTTAAACCTAGCCAGAAAAACTATTCCCTCAGCCAAACTTGCATGTGATTTGACATCGTCCGATTTTAAATTATTAAGCACATCATTTACTGTTCATACTGCAGGTACAACCTTTCCGCATTACACAATTGTGTGTACAGCTGTTTCTACTCGTCTTTTCCATCTCCATTACTCAACTCTCTGGCATACTAGAATTCTTGTGCTGGATGCTTTTTTTTTTGTAAATGTTATGTAAAACAGCCTTACAGAATTTTTCTTTAATGAAAAATAGCTGCCTTGCACAACAATGTGCACAGTTTGTAGACACATTAGGTTTGGCGTCCCCTTTCTTAAACATTCTTGAAGGTGAACAAATATGAGAGTTGGCGAGCCCTGTGAGGTGAAAGATTCATTTTGCATTGCATAGTATAGTAGCACCAAAGCACCACACTAGATAATATACAAGAGTGTCGCACAGATATTTGGAATGTCTTAAGCAAGATCTAAAAAACAGATGCTTCGTAAAAATAGCTTGTCATGTACCTAATGTTACAGAGGCACTCCATTATAGAAGACACAGTAGAGTACTACATACTAGTTTTGAAGCACTGATAAAAAATCTCATAGGAATACATATAATTTTCATGTACACTGACCCTGTTGATCAATATATTTACGCCATACAAAAATATGGAATGGTGCACGAGTTGCAGGACGGATCAGCATGGAGGATTTCTTTTCGATCGTGTACACATGTTGAAGCATTGAATGTGTTATATGATGGATTTAGGAACACCACCGTTCCTTGGGGTCGGCAAAGCAGCCTTGCACCATTCACTTTCAAGCACAACTGCAATGCATTCAAGCCTCTCTAGATAAAAGTGCCACTGTATGAAGACAATGTACAAAATATTGCTGCAAAAAACACTGCTAAAAGATGAGAAGCAAGTCTGAAGATTTCGAAAGGGCTGTTTCCTCGTGGAATGTCACTTCAGTGGGAGTTTCTATACGCTTGACTGGAAGAACACACAGCCATAAAAGGTAGCGTTCTTTGAAATACAAGAAAACGGCATTTCCTGCACGCACAATTCTGGAATGTTGAAGCATGTAAACTGGCATAAAATGCAGGACTAATACTATTATTTGCAAATGTATAAGGCAAAGCTGCTTCTGACAATTATCTGATTTGCATGATGGGGCATTCAGGTTTCTCATGTCCTCACTCGTGAATCAAGTGAAGTAATGATAAGTAGATAGACCAAGAATCCGTTTCAGTTGTCTAGAAGCTCATTAAGTTCTCAATACTACTGATCTCATTTCAAAATTGCACGGTGAAGTATTTGTACATGTTTATATATATGTATATATATACGTGTGTAAAAAAAAATGTCTCTGACCTTAAAAAACCAAGACCACAACTCTGTAGTGTGAGACTGTAAGTGGATGTAAAATCTGCAACTTTTAGTCATACAAATGCTTTGAAAGCTCATACTATTAGCGACACCGGGTAACATCAATTAATCTGCACAACCACAATGCTTGGAATGTCGTGAATGACAAGTGAAAGGAACTTTAGGCTGACGCAAAAATCGGAAAAAAAAAAAAAAATCACGGCAGTGGTTAGCTCTCTAAGAGTATCGGAACAAACCAGCCGGAAAACAAAAAGAAGCCACCTTGCAGCTCTGATCGGAAAACCAGGCTTACACAAATTCTGAATGCGTGCATACACCCAGAGTATCTGCTAAGCAGACACTTGTATCTCCTTAAAGCCTCCAATGAGGGCTTCTGTTTAACTGCCGATGCACAGGCTTGATTGTCCACAGCGACTTCACTTACAGCTGACCAGTGCACTCCAGCAGCAGTCATGATCGGTTAACTCACTCGCACGCAAAACTGGCACCTACTATTTGAATAACTTCAGCAAAATTCCCAGAAGGAACCTGTAGATGTCGGCCCCCCCACACAAGAAAAGACAACTGTGCATAAGACTCAAAGGTCTGTGCGAGCTGTGTGGTCCTTAGGTGGCAGCCGACCGGCACGTGCGTCTCCAATCGCACCCCAGATGTCAAAGAGAAAGTCTTCAGTGAAACCAAACGCATCCAGGTCAGAATCAGCCACCGCTGTCACAAATTCGTGTGGGTTGGGCCTCTCGCAGCCAAGCTCCCAGATCTGAGTGGCTGTACAGAGAAGTTTGCAGCTTTTAAACATTTATTATTTAGAACATTTTAAACATGCTATATCTGCAGATTTGGTAAACTGCACAACTACTCGATTGTGCATGGCAAAACTGTGACCACAGCAACCCACTCAACTTTTGTTTCTTTTATGTTTATCTCCCTATTATTCTGCCTTGCATAACTCTTGCGTGCTAGTCCTCAATTTATGTTTCACTTTATAGTGCTTTTTCATGCCCTTGGGGCATTTTCATGGCATGCATTCTATGTCGGTGTCATCAAGGTATCTTATTTTGAAACAATACTGATCTTGCCACTCCTTTATAAGATATCTTTTATATTTTGCTCAATTAACAGATGTTTATTAAACTGTTTGTAACTGTTTTTTTATGTTTCTTTTTCTCCTTTATCTTCAGTACTTGTGACTGAAAAGTTAAGAAATGTATAAGTGGTTTAATGCACAACTCAATGGTGAATCAAGACCTAGCATAACAATTGTTTTACACATGTACATTACAATTACTACTGATACTTCTCCCAGCATAATTGTTTGTTGGTTCTCATTAATATCTGAAATAGGTTACTATCGCGTACAGGCACATGTCCATGTCCCTAGTTTGCCGTTAAAAATGTGAACTTCCTGGCAAACTTCAACAATGATTACATTTTCACTGCTCAGTCAAAAATAACATATTAACTAGGGATGACAAACTTTTATTCTGCAACATGCACAGTATCCACGTTAGCAGAGAATAAGCCGTTATGGCTAGAACGAAAATCGCATAGCACGACTCCCTTGTACAGATGAATGAAATGTGCTACGTAGTTATGGGGGCTTAGCTTGTATTCATTTTTAGGTTGTAATTGACTCTAGTGAAATCTTTTATTGCTCGGTCAAAAACAATGAAATTATATGTTCTCTCACTTAACAATCTTCATGATACATCAACACGTAATAATTCATAAGAGTAACAGTGCTTCGTAATCAGTGCTCTCGCACTTAATCACTAACAGTCGTATAGAAAACATGTTTACCACAAAATATTCCGGACTAGGATTACTCTACTGACGACTCCTAGTCTGTGAAATTTACTGAGCTAGGAGCCATTCAGTATGCTTTTTAGAGTGTGTGACACCATATATAAATGGCCATTACCTAGTTCAGAGTCGTTGATACCCATGTAAGACTCGAGAAGAGCATTAATCTTGTCCACTGCTGCCTGGATCACATTGTCAGGCTGCATTAAAAAAAAAAAAATGTACAGTGATGCCCTTGACAAATGTTGATTTCAGTGGTTCGTATGAAAAATCGCCATTGTTGCAATTATATATAATGAAATATGTGAGAATCCTAGGATATTTATAACCAATATTTTATGGCTCAAATGCCTGCCAAGCAATACACTTCAAAATTGTTAAGATCTCACAAATGTCCACAACCCAACTGCACAACAGTTTGCAGAATTTAAATAGTGTTTCATGCGAATGTTTTCAAAAGTATGTGGTTCATTCCACATTATTTATAATGATCATGTAACTGGTAAAAATAGAAATGACAGTGAATATTTCACATAGGTTGATTCACAACTAATGTATGGCCAGTATAGCTTAATCTATACAGTTTCATTTTGTAATTGCTAATTCCAAATTCAGCCTTACTATTCACCGATTGATCAAATGGCCCAAAAATTTTCAAAGATTTTGCTTACCAAACTAGCAGTGACCAGAAGCCGCTAAAACCCACTATATATCAAACTGATGTGTATGCAGAGACTGTGTCGATTTGCGTCAAGTGAATATAATCGAAATAGCTGGCAAGTGCCCCTGTTTAGAAATGGTATGAAAAACAGTAGCAAACTCTGTCAAAAAATAAAGAAAGAGAGAGAGAAATTGCTTAATGGTCATTACAAGATCACACAAAATATTGCAATATACACAAATATATCGTATTTACTTGACTGTAACGCGACCACTATTGCAACGCGAAGGTTGCCTTTACATAGCGTCCAGAAAAGAAAAAGTAATATAATTTTAGTATTCGATGGTAATGCGATGGCCGACTTTAGGTAGAAAAAATCTAGAAAAAAATTGCTTTACATTCGAGTTAATACATTATTCACTTTTTCCACCAGCTACGAGCACAAAAATAATCAGAGTGAAGCCACTTTTAACTCCTTTCAAATAGGGTGCTCTCCAGCTATTTAAAAAAGTGTTTTTTTCAGCGCAATTATGTGCTGCTCAGCATAAGCCCAGATTTACATACAAATATACTTTAGTTTCAATGAAATCTTTATGCAATAAAACTGAAGAGCATTCAGTAACATAAAACCAAGAAAAGAATTGTAGGTTTTGTGCGATTTTTTGTTTTGATCCATTATAGAATCGAGTAAGTTAAAGAATGCCTCGAAGGTGCTATTTATGTCAATATTCATTTCAGTAACACCGTGCATGCACTGCTGAATTTTTTATATTTTTTTACTGATTTGTATTGTCTATTTATTGTTATTACTGTCAATTTTACAAGAGTTCACAGCACAGCTTATAAGGCTTGGGCATCCAATTCGCTAGCGGCCATTCAGAGTCATGCATGCTTTACACACAAGTGGTGTTATGAATGAAAAGGAGTGGGTGGCCCTTGTGTTTAATAAACACTCGAGGTAATGACTTATAAAGGAACCAACTGGAAATAAAGTGCTACAGGCAGCCTTCCTTAACAATTGGTGCACATCTATTAACGACGCATCTACAGCCCAAACCAAGGGCAAATTCATGCTCTGACAGTCATGAAATAACAGCACACAAACGACGGAGGAACACACAAAGCCAAATGAGCACTATGTGCCTCTGTGTGTTGGTTCATCGTTCTTGCGCTGTTATTTTACGATAATGAATAACCTACTAGCCCGATTCAGCACTACTCTGAAACAGTCATGACACACTCGTAACTGCATCAGTCACGCTACGCTGCCTGAATGGCCACAATGAAAAAAATTACAACTCTTCCACTACATTGAAAGTGGGGTCAAGGGAAGCTTGCTATGTGCATGCCTCACCTACTATTTTGTTTTAGGAGCGAAGCTCTTAGTCTAACCTTGTCGCGCGCAAACCGCAGTATTTCCTGAACAGTATAATAGATGACCATTTCTCGTGTCATTTCCTAGATGGTGTTACCCAGCTGCTACTCTCCGATTGGCTGCTGCGCGCGCTTTGCCTGAGTGCTAGGGGAACAAGTGCCTCTCTCAGTCTCTGGATCGTCGCCATCTGTGGCAGATTGTTGGTGGGGCATGGACGAAACGAAAAACAGAAAAACTGCGTTGCAGCATATTCACGGAGTGAATCATGATGAGCGGGGCAAAGCGTTCGCCAGTTCGTCTGTGCTTCCGTGTGTCCGTCCGTGCTTCCGTCCGTCCATCTGCCCCACTCGTCGTCATTCACCTCATGGATATGCTGTGATTCTTTTTCTTTCTTTCTATCACATTGCAAAATGCTCCCTCCTAACTTTCTCCTTCCTCCATGCTGGGAATCCACGTGCTTATGAGCGCAACCCTGCTGCTACAAGCAAAAACGACAGCTATAGGTGAAGCAATAAGATGAAGCAATGAAAGAAAACATTAAAATGTGGCAGCACGAAATGACAAGTGAGTTCAATAAAAGATCATATTTCCACATCAAGAGAGCGTTAATTATTGGAAAATGGTGCATACAAATACACATGCGGCCAAGGCACCTTTGAGGGCCTAGTTGTGTATACGTGCGGTTCTGTACACACGCCAGCCGAGTTTTTCAAGATTCAAGCTGCTGTAACCAAAGTCTGCAACTCATAGAAGTTCTGCTTGAAAAGTCACAAAGTGGCAAACTCACGGCTTTCTCCACAGTGGCAGGACCCTTGGAACGCAACCGCAGAGTCTCCTTGCCCGACCCCATGGACCCCTTGTTTTTCGCCTGACCAGCCATCGCTCCACTTCGAGGCCCTATGTGTGCTGCACATATCACAAGTAGGCCTCGATTATTAATACTGGCCCCGGTACGCTGCATTGGCATGCACACAAACAAATGACTACAATGCTATGAACATAAATGCAAGACATATATCACTTGTGAAACTTGTGGCCCTTCAATTTTGTATACTTCCGATAACTTTGAAAATGCATCTCATTTAGTTTAATTTCTGTAGAGCATAGAGTTTCATACTGACATTGCCAAAAATCTGTGTAATAGTTCAGCCACCATGGGATGGTTTGGAATGAATAGTAAATTTTGTTACTGTTCTTCGCAGTTTAAATTTACTGCTTCTGCTTGTTTCATTAGGTGTCCTTAAACTGCTTATTATTCCTTTTACACATACTGCACCACAAATATAAAACATCTTCAACTTTGTACACTACTATATCTGAAACGAGAAGCAGAACGATCACAATGCAGGCATATTTTTCTTAATGTGCTACAAACCTGCTCTTGTTTTTAGTGTTTTAAAGGCCATCCAATCAGAATTATAAGTCGCTAGCATAGCTGGTAATTGTCATACAACTGTTTTACAGAGATAATGAAGAATTTAGCAATCCACATAGAAAATTTGGGCCTGAATTGAAATGCAAGTTTTAGTCACCTATTTCTGAACTTTCTCATGTGGAGGTTGAAGTAGTGAAGAAACACGCAGATATTAGTGCCAAATTGTCTACCGACGTATGCATTCTTTGAAATAATGCATCAGTTAATTAAAACTTTCCAGCTAGCATCTATATGCTCTGGATAAGGAAGAGAGTGCTGACAATACCCCCTACTTAAAGGGGCCCTGGGATACTATCTGAATGTGGTGAGAAAAAACTGCCAATCGGTAGTTAAGGCTCGGGTGAACATGAGAGCCAAACGTTGTGGCGCAGCACGTGTCAGGAAGTTCACAACCGCGTTTCAAAGTCAGCAAGAGTTCACTCTTCTCTCGACATATTATGCCACAGGATGGACCGGCTATGACATAAGCAGAAGGACATGACGGTCGCCTGATTAGAGCATTCGTGTACTGCATAATTACTGCAGGTATGTAACCGAAACTGAAGTGAAATTTAATTGGTTTAGATTGACATATTCTACTCTGAAAACAATATTATATTTTATTATTAAGTGAAATGATGAATTGATTTGGATTTATAAATTGTACTCTGAAAACACTAACATAATGTCACCATCACAAGCATAGGCAAGAATATCAAGACCAAAGTTTCATGTAAAAATTTTTATCGAAATCTCTGTGCTTGACGTCACGAACCACAAGATGAATTTTTCCCATTTTGGCATCGCTGCATTCATGAAATTGAAAAAATTTCTGTATGTTATCTGGCTCCTCCAGAGCAAAATGTACTAAATATTTATGAATTAGGGACTTGTCTTCATGCCCTAGTAGACACTGTCAACATCAATGATGTCATGGCAATTGGTGTGGGAATATCAAAGTGGCATCACCAACCCACAGTTTCTTTTTTCACATTCTCTTTTTTTTTGGCAAAAGTGGTGATTTTAATACTGATGAAGATTAACTAACGAATGCAAAAAATACTCCCTCTTCGCTTCACCCTCCCTTTAAAAACAGTCAATCAGTGTGATTACAACCTCCTATGTGAGACTCCGGGCTAGACTGTGGAAAGATTTCAAAATACAGTGACAAGAAATACGCCATGGGGTTGTTAGATGTCATAAATGAATTTTGCAAAAAACTGACAGCTGTGACGCTGCGGCTACTCACAGAAACCAGCCTTGAGAGGTTCAACCAAGCGAAGTGTGAATGTGGAGCCTTTCTTGATCTCCTTGAGTGCTTTTGCTACTTCATAATGACGGCAGTTGACCATGCTTCTTTCATCAATGCGCTCTATGTGGTCGCCAACCTGTCAAAAGTACAATATACTGCAATGTCAATCACTGCTAAATTATTAAGTCCCCAGCTATCCAAGTGCCTACCTGACAACCAGTGAATTTCAAATTCATTAACATCTCACAGACACAAAGGCATGGACTTCAATAGAAGATAGCACACATTTTTAATTTTTATTGAAAACAATCACTTCTTCGAGTACATAACTTGAAAGAACCAAACATTGGGCACATAGACATTTGATAATTTGCAGGCAGCACATCAAATGAAAATGAGGATAGAACTAGAACAGCAATGCGTTCGAGAATCTTATCCTGATTTTCACCAAGCTGCAAAGTAGCTTTTAAAAATTTACATTTATACACGATACACACCCATTAACAAATCAGGAACAAAGGAACCTGGTGACAAGCATGAGAGTTTTTTATCACTTCGTCACAAACTTTCACTGTGGCTAACTTTGCGTGCTTCACGAAATTGTTTGAATAAACTAGTTTGATGCAAGTACTCTTTAGGCATCATAGCATCTTGAGCTTCCATGAGAGGAAAGAAAGTCATTAAAATATCCTTTAAATTATATGCATTTCTTTTACCTTGCTCTGCCCCACATTTCAGCAGCAGGAATATTTTTAACAGACTAAATACATTTTCCACAAAACTTTGTTGAACATCTGTAAAATTGTAGATGGGGTGCGAATTAGTTGGCAGTGTATAAGCTAAAACCTAGAAGAATTTGCAGGTATTCTAAGTATTAAGGGTTACCACAATGAGCAATGTATGCAGAGATGCTTAGTAAAATATTTATTTAGTTAGGGTGCACGCATTATGATGATGTTACAAGATGATAATGCTACCTCGCTGTTCCCATTTAGCATGTTTTCTAAGCTACTTTCTAAATCTCAATGCCGTGCACTGAGGTGCATTCAGTTCTACAACTGTATACAAAATACAATCAAACCTCTATATAACGATCCTGGGCATAATGAAATATCGGCTATAACGAAGTAAATAAGGAATAGCCTTTCAACAGATAATAGTGGTTGGAATGAATTTTTCTATACAAAGAACTTATTTCCATGTACAATGCAACTTCATTATAATGAGGATGGAGTGTATGTGAACTAACGTAATTCACAAGCACTTCACCTGATGAACTACACTATGGTTCTTGGCAGTAATCACTTGATTTTCTATGCACAATGCTGTCAACAACATGATGCAAAAAAGACATCTGTATGTATAATTCATGTATTGTATAATTCATGTCAGTCTTTCACTAATGTCATGTCAATTATGGACCAATTCATCTTATGACTTGCAATTCATGTCCCTGCAATGCATGTTGGCCCTTCCCTGATGTCACGTATAATGCCAACATTGGGACCATTTCATGTTATAACCTACAATTCACAGTGGTCCTTCACTAATGTCATGTCATGGCAATTTTGGTGTATACAAAGCTAATGAAATAACCTCGAGCACCAAGACCTTCTCGTGTATGTCATGCTGTACATACGGCCACATAAAACTCATGTTATAACCTGTCATTTACCTTTCTTATACATTAATTATTATGAACATTAATTGTTGTCGGCTTATGTCCCAAAGCCACAATATGATTATGACAGACACATCATAATGCAGACTTCAAAAATAGTGACCACCTGGTGTTCTTTAGCATGCATAAATGTAAGCCCACAAACCACCTACACCTAATGTTCGTCATGCACTAATGTCATATCGCACCGATTTCGGTGCATACCAGGTTAATGAAGTGACCATGATATCACCAAGATCTCCCCATGTATATCATAAATAACAGAGTTCAGGGGAAGATGAAAGCTTGAATTGATGAAAAATTCTTGAACAAGGGTGTAGTTGAAGGCTAAAGCAACACCTTCATCCAAAACGTCTTTATCCTATGTATCTTATGATATACATATGCATGAGATGAGATTCATGTAACGACTCATCATGTACTTTCCTCACACACTCATGCCATGCCAATTTTTATATACCATAAGTCATTGAAGCCGCCATGAGAGCAAGAGGGAACATCATCTGTATCATGACGTGAATGATATGCATGACTTAATTTTCATGCTATGACCTCTCATATGTGTTTGCCATACACCAGTCTGAAGCTAAGCCAATTTTGGTATATAATGATATAATGAATTTACATTAATGAATGAATAATGTATTTAATGAATGAATGATGTGTTTAATTAATGAATAATGAAACATTGATATATTGAATTTCGACAAAATTAAATTTAAAAAAGACTGAATTAAAAAAAAAAGCCCGAACTTCAATTTAACAAAGTTATGCTATAAAGAAGTAAATTGCCAATTATACCAACTTCGTTACAGTTAGCTTTGAAAATATAACATGTTGACATAACAGCTGTGAGGGCACAAACACGCAGGCGGCTAGGCCTCACCTGCACAAACCCAATGCGGTCCATGAGGGAGCCCTCTTTGATGCGCTTGATGAACGCCAGGCCAGCTCCATTGTCGGTGATGGTGAGGCCCAGGGAGTCTTCCCCCTTGAGCACCTCAACTTCCTTGGGCTGGCCTCGACGATGCACAAAGATGAAGTCATCAAGCCCTATTTGGCCACCCAGGAGCCGGCTCATGTCCACTTTGTGCGTGTTGAGTGTACAAAATAGAATCTGAAAGTCACAACAGAGATTTGTCGCACACTGCTTTAGTTCTCCATGTTCCCCCATACACTCCTTCAGCAGCGGGGCTACGTCTGTCTACGCAACTTGTTTATGCTAGTTGTGCTGACTTATGGCTGAAATAGAGCAAGACGGGTAGCTTATTAGATGAGCCGAGTCCTTCGTGTAGTGAATATGCCTTGACTTAACCTCAGTGTGCTGTGTACAACTGCAGCCGATCACATTGGTGAAGGCACAATGATTCCTGACGGGTAGCCAGGTGTGCCACATTCCAGGACCAACGTCAAAAGTTTTACTTTTGTTTTCTCAAAATGAATGCACCAAAAACTAATTGACACATAATTAAAGTCTATGACTTCATTCTCTTTATGCGAAAATTGAATATGCGAAAATTGAAAATGACCGACTGCAATATAATGAATAGTTACTCACATCCTACTTAGAATTACTAAAATATAAAACAACATAATACTTTTTCTTTCTTGGAATATAATATTGAGTGTCTTAGAGTTATGGTACGTGAATTGTATTGACACATTTGTAAACAGTGCATAATTCACGCCTGATGGGGATACAGTATCAATCACATGCGATGCTGACCACGTGTGTAATATCTTGCTTCCCTTTTCTTATGATCATTAATTGCAATAAAAGAAGTCAGTCCTTCATTTTTGTGCCCCATCCGTACAATATATGCAATTATAGTATCATCCATCTTTCTGGCTGCAGATGCAAATTTCTACAGTGGCTTGATCTGATAAGCTACCTTCAGCTCCTCTGAAGCAAAAAGCAACACTTCATAACACTTCAACGATAATCAAGAGAAATCCAGCTACACTTAAAAGCAGATGTAACATTGTACTATGGAAATGTATACTGTGTCCTGGTGGAAGACCTGTACTATCTGCGTGATATATGCATGACCCAATTTTTTCAGCAGAATTAACAGCATTCAGAGGGAATGCCAATATGAAGAGAAATGCTACAAGAGTCGTAAGGCAGCCAGTTTTTTTTTCTTTTTTTTTACTTATAAAGGCAGCATTCAAACTTTATTTGACCACTTTTGAAAAACTGCAAGTTGGAAAACGGCCCACTGAGATAGCAGTCTGCAGAGACATTTACAGAGAAGCGTTACGGGCGAACTTAGGCTTTATTAAATAATAGACTCGATTTGGGCAGGATAATGCATCACTTCGTGGCAGGTACCGCTTTTTGAGCGCCTAATCCGGTATGGACCAGCGCAACTTCTTTTTGCAAACCATGGAAATAGGCAAAAAAAAAAAAAGAAATAAAAGAAGAAAAAGAAAGGAAGTTCCTGTTGCGGCTGGTCAGTGCGCAGCATCTCCCTCGCCCATAGGCCCGCCGGGCACAAGTGCGGCCGGCGCGCTGTTGCGTGCTTCTCACCTACCACCTTGAAAAGTGGGGCAGGTCCTCAGGCCGAAAGCACGCGCGAACCGATACACGTTCAATCTGGATCGAGAAGTCCGCGCACACTCGCCCGGACGGGTTTTTTTTTCGTTTCTATTTGCTCATATTTTTTTTTTGCGCTTCGTCTTCAGATTATTTTTTTTTTACTTTAGCTTTCTTCCGCTTCGGATTACGCGCTGATTTTGTTGTTTTATTTCCACGCTCGGCAAGGGCGCTGGCGGCCCAGACAAGGATCGCCTACGTTCCGCCGGCCGTCCGTCCTTCCCCGGAGCGTGGTTATATAGAAGCGGCTGACGTGATAACCAATTCTAACGTCTAACGAAAAAAAAAAGCGAAATGAAAACGCGGTTCTTATTTTAACGGCAGCACGGCAGGAACGAAACCGAAACAAGAGCAAGGTCGCTAAAGGAGGGAGCATATTGCATAACTCGATCGCTGCTGCTTGATGGAAAGCCGGCCAAAGCCGGCGTCCTTGTATACGAACGAACGCACTGCTATAGACGCCAAGCATATCGCAACGCAGCGAGAGAGAGGGAAAAAAAAGCAAAGCAAGGAATCGAAGACGTCACGATTGTTTACCGGAAGACGCGCTGCTGCCCGGTTTGATTTCCTGCTGTGGCACAGTTACGTAAGCGGTAGGACTTCCAGAAAAGGCCCCGGCCTTTTTTTTTCCTCCACCGAAACGCGCTCGCCGCGGCCGGGAATCGATCCTGCGACACTCGAGGCAACAGTAAAGCACCGTGACCACTGCAGCCCCTGCACGATTACAGCGGTCGTACACGGATGAGGGACAAGGAGGGCGAAGTAACTCCCAATATGGATAGGATAGTTAAAGTAGCGGAGGAGTTTCACAGAGATCTCTACAGCAGCCGGGACAACCACGACAATAACGTAAGAACTAACAGTAACCCATGTGACACCCTACCAGTAATGTACAGAAAAAGTCAGGAAAGCCATGAAGGGAATAAAAAAGAGACTAAGCTGCTGGTGAGGATCAGGTAACATCAGATCTGCTGAAAGACGGAGGACAGATTGTGTCTTAGAAAAAAACTAGCCACCCTGTTTACGAAGTGTCTCGGAAGGTACCAGAACCTTGGAAGAATGCTAAAATCATCTTAATCCATGAGAAAGGAGATGACAAGGACTTGTGAAGAGTTTCGGGTCGATAAGCTTGCTCTCATCGTATACAAGCTATTTACAAATGTAATTGCTAACAGAGTAAAGAAAACATTAGAATTCAATCAACAATAGGAAACAAGCAGGACTTAGAACAGGCTACTCAACAATAGACCACATTCATACTATCAATCAAGGACATAAAATGGTTCAGAATACACCCAACTACTATACATAACCTTCATAGACCACGAGAATGCATTTGATTCATCAGTACATTATAGTATAACATTAGTCTATCGAGAAATTTTTATTTTACAGTTAGTATTCACTGAAACAGGCCGCGAATCGAGCCCACGCCCTGAAGCTCAAGAATCCGATGAATGATATATAGCACATGTGATCGGTCAAACACAGTGATTATGGGGATGAACGGCGTACTTCATATACGACAAAATGGTTGATAGGGCGAATTGGTGATTCCATAGAGTTTCCTAATTTTAGGAAACTCTATCGGTGATTCATGATGGTCCTGTCCACGTATCGCGCTCGCATTTCAAACCTCGTTACGAGGCAATAGCAGTTATGAAGGTGCTGCAGATTCAACGTGGCATTTATAGTCGAGAAATGTGGATACATCGTCGATTGAAGAATGGTCAATTGAGCGCTTCCGCATAGTACGTCGTGGTCGGATGCAATTTAGTAAGTGGCCCCCGCCGGGACGACGGAAGCGCGTCAGGCGCGCGGCAATGTTCTCCGAAGGCGGGGCCACCGGCACTAAGGTTCATGACGCCAGTCGGGAGTGCGCGTCCATTGGTGGAGGCTAGTGTGCATCCGTTTTTAAAGAGGAAATGCCGCGGACTCCTAATGCAGTAGGTGTTTTTTTTTTTTTTTGCGTTTTGGTCAGGAGAGTAAGTTGGAGAAAAAAGAAAGTGTCGGGGGGTGACCCTGTGCGCAAGAGCACACAACGTCAGATGAAAACGGTGCGTTCCAAGTGTGATTCTGGTTAAAAATAATAGGCCGTCAACCATCAACGTGCGGTCACACGCACACAGCACTTAAAAAAAAAAAAAAACGAAATTCCGCCGGTCTGATGAGCAACAGCTGCAGTAGAGTGTACTAGGCAACTGGAGTACCGAGAAACTGTAGACACCGGTTCCGCTCGCCGCAACCGTCGGAAATCACGACCGCTAGACCGTGCGCCGCCAAGCGTCAAATGTGGCGAGAACAGGGGAGGCATGTCGCTGAAGCCATTTCCATCTTTTTAGAGACGCTCTCGGCTCTTATGTGCACGCTTGGTCGACCAAGCTTGATACGGTGCTTCTAGCGGGACTATACTCCTTCTTGGCCTAGCTTTCTTCAGACAAGAAGCGAAAGTGGTTTAATTTCGGCGTCTGCAAAGAAAAAAAAAAAGGCGTGCTACATTACTCCCCGTCTAATCGGAACATCTGCGATTTTTAAAAGCGAAAGGACAGCCGACAGGAAAGTTCGCGCCCGACATTCGCACTGAACACACACACTGCGACGTAAGGATTGCGCCAGTCTTTCGAGCAGTTAGTAGTTCCAGGCGTTGTGACCTCGCTGTGCAGTTCCGCGCACCGTACCGGAAGCTGCAGGTGGCTGGCCGTGGACAATCCACTTAAACGCTACGCGCCACTTCCGCGCCTGGCATTTTTTCCTGGAGCCGCGTACATGGGATCCATGCGTCGGTGTACGACCCGAAGTAGAAACTACGCGATGCTCACAAGTGCGGTGCGTCTTGGAAGATGTATACTGACGTCACATCGTCATAACTATTTTCGTTATCGTATTCGAATACTTAGATACAGTAAACGAACGAAAGGAGGGAAATTTTAAGGAGTGTCTATCTTTATTAAACCCGGCATTAATACAGACAAGAAATCCATGTAAATGAAGTTAGTAAAATAGACGAAAAGATCACTTGCAGTTCCTGCTGGCAGAGACAGTGATGGAAGTGACTTTTTACTTTTCAAAGCATATACTTTGGAGCAGAAAAAATACTGCTTTGGAGCAGCCATAAGTGTTTTCGAAGCAGACAGAAAAAAATATAAAGGCTAGTTTAGAGCAGCTAATGGTGCTTGAGAAGCAGATATAAAATTTAACACACATTAACTGGAGCTCGGAGCATTGTCGAAGCATCTCGCAAATACTAATATATTTAGTAGATAACAATCGATGTAAGCTTCATGAAGCAAACAATGGCAGGTTTTAAAAAAATGTGCTGTAAAATGAGCTGCAATTTAAAATACTAGTATTTGTGTCAGAAATCCAATCAAATCGGTAAATGCCACATTTTAAATGTACCCACACTCCCATATAGCTATTGCCAAATAAGAAGTATACATAATCGGTATGAGATAAAGGCAATTCTCTTCATTTTCACATCTCACCACACCAGACTCCATGTCTAATTGAAAAAAGAAAGA